CCGAGGGGAGATGTAGAAGCCGCCGCTGTCCAGGGTCCGGATCTTGTAATGCTTCACTGCCCCGCCCCGCAGCTCGTCCGCGTCCCGCACCGAGAGCGAGTAGGAGCCTGCGGGAGGGGACAGCTGGCACCTCCCCGGGAGAATCCCACGAACATTCCTGCTGCTGCTCCCGGCCATCCCGGCTGCACAGAGCATCGCCAGCAGAGCCAGCAGCGCCCACCCCACTGTGCTGCCACCATCCCTTCAGCAGCACCCGTGCCACTGTGCTGCCACCATCCCTTCAGCCCCAGGCCAGCACCCAAACACCCAAAGCAGCCCCAAAGGGACACATCCCCCATCCCTGCAGTGGGATTTGGACATGTGCCAGCACCACAGGCCATTGCAGGGGCACCTCCAGGCAGAGCATGGGTCCCCCAGTCCCTCCCTGCAGCACAGCACATCCCCAGGGCTGGGGAGGGAGCTCGTCTTCCAGGAAAAGGGGAATGAGGGCAGCCCTTGGGGCAGCTGTTCCCCAGCACTGTGCCATGGACACCCCTCACACCTTTTGTTGTCTCGCTGTCCCTGATCATGAAGGAGCCAATCATGTTCCCAGGGCCAAGGAGCTGCCGCTCAGCATCCTTCCTGCTGACATCCTTGAAAAACCACCTGCAGCAGAGCCAAGGGAAGCCAGGAATGCTGGATTGCGGCAGGACAGGAGGCAGGAGCAGGGACAGTGGCAGTGGGAAGGGGTGGGACAGCATGGGGACAGGATCTGGCACACAGGGATGGACTCACTCCTCTGTCTCCAGCGAGTTGTCTTGGGCAACGTAGTTGCTGGGGATGAAGCCTTCACGTCCTGTCGCCAGCGACCGTGCTCGCCACCATTCCCCTGACCTGTGGCAGAAGTGACATTGGATTGGCTCCTGGCACATGGAGCTGGGCACCAGCAGCTCCTCCAGGGCAAATTCCAGAAGAAAATCCCATCAGGGCCACAGAAGCCATCAGGAGATCCTGAACAGGGGTCTCCAGCAGCACTTACTTCTCCAGGACCTTCATGCGCTCGCCCTGCTGGAAGCTGAGGTCCCCAGCGTTCATGGCCTCGTAGTCGTAGAGTGCCAGCACCACGCTGTCCCCCGGGCCTGCAGCAAGGGAGCTCCCTGGGCACCCTCCCCGTGCTGGGATGGGGTGCCAGCCACTCCTGCCATGAACTCTGGCCAGGACATTGGCCAGGACCCCCACAGCCCCAGCACCTCCATTGTGTCACATCTGGCCCCTCACGGGAGCCCAGAGCTCCCATCCCTCCAGGATGTGCTCACGCCCAGGTCAGAGAGGATCTGGCCATGCTGCCCCCACACACTCCCACCCCCTGCACCCCCTTGCAGCCCCCTTGTACCTACCATCCTCGGGCAGGGGCACAGCCATGCTGGGGACATTGGTGTTCTGGAAAGTGCAACAAAACCACAGAGTGACATCACAGGGGGCAGAGACCAATTTCCCATGGGGGGTCGTGGCCCCAACAGCAATGGCAGGAGCAGGAGGGCACCCAAGGGGCAGCACCAGCACCACTTGACACAGCCCACCCAGCACCAGCATCTCCACCCCCTCCCAACACCTTCCTTTTCTCTCCCTTTCTCCATAATTCCTGGATTCCCATCAGGTCCACTCTGTGCTTTGTCTCAGTGTGGCCTGGGCTCCCACCCATAGCCCAGTCCCTGTCCTGGAGCACAGGCACTGCCAGTGCCCTCAGCTGTCTCACTCTCAGTGCTGGTGGCACTGCTGAGGAGAGGGCCTGAACCCCCTGTGACAGCTCAGCCCCGAAATCTCTCATCACTCACCCTCTTGTTGGTGGCCGTGGGGTCTCTCACATAGTGGCCCTGCTGGATGGTGGGGCCAGGATCAGGATCAGGGTCAGTTTTTGTTATCTTCTCTTGGCCACCAGCTTCCTTTGACCTCACACAACCCATGCTGCAGCCAAGGAAGGGGAAGTGAGGCCATTGCAACAGAGGTGAAAGCCCCGCTCCAGCCCCAGTCCAGCCCATTCCCATCAGCTCCCACAGCACAGGGCCCCAGTGCTCTGCTGTGACAGGGAAACTCTGCTCCTCCCACAGCTGCAGGGCACTGGGGTGCCCTGTGACACTCCAGAGGAAAAGGGAACTCCTGGAGATGCCATTGGAGGTGAAGTTTGGGGAGACAAGAGCAGCAGCCATGGAGCAGCTTCCCTGCCCTTGGGGGATGCAGGACAGGGTGCAGGCACGGGGCACCACGGCAGCAGTCACACTCAGCATCTCCTGCACAGAGGAGCCCTGATCATGGTGAGCCCTGCTGCAGCTTGGGGGTCCCCACACAGCACCCCCATCACCATAGGTGACTCCACACTGTGCTTCCCTGATCTCTGCTGGGTAGGAGCTGCCCCAAACTGCCAGTCCAGGGCAAAGGCAAATGCTCAACCTTCTCCAGTACCCCAAGAAATTCAGTGGGAAAAAAAAGCTGCAAGAGGCAGCAAGAGTGGTAAACCCCTTGCAAATGTACTTCCCTTGGCCAGGGAGACCTGGGTGCAGAGAAAGCAGAAGGTGCTGGTGGTGATAGTGAAGGAGGAAGCTCAGGGCTGAACCCTCGATGTGCACAGCACAGCTCTTGAGGAACATCAGCCCATGGTCATTCCTTGCCTTTCCCTGGGTCAGCCCTGCTCCAGAGGGCAGAGCAGAGCAGCAGTGGCAGCCAGGACAGCTCATCTCCCTCACTGGGCACAGGCTGGGGACTGTGCCAGATCCATCCCGGCAAACCCAAGGTGCCCAGTGAAACTCAGACATGGCTCACACCATCACCATCACCATGCAGGTATTTGCTGTTCCCGTCCCACTCCATCCAGCCCTACAGAGCACAAACACCCCGCACAGTCCAAGGGTCATTTCCCTGGCTCCTGTGGCATAGCTGGCATTCCTGATGTGTCCCACCCTGGAGAGCCAGGTCCCAGGGCTCATGCGGTGTCCCCAGCCAGGAGAACCAGGTTGGATGAGGGTGTCCCTCGTTCCCGGAGCAAGGCTGCCCGCAGCCCCCTGCCCTTGCCCGTGCCTTCGGTCCCCGACAGCGCCTGCAAAGCCACGGGCAGGGACCCCCTCGTGGGGGCTGCACTGTGACCAGCCGGGGCTGCACCGGGACCCCTGAGATTCCCGGCCATCGCCTCATCCCGGTCACCCAGGGTCCGCCGCTCTGACCGGGACCGGCCCGGCGCGGGGTCGGCCCCACCGGGCTGCGCGGGACCGGTCGCGGGGCTCCCTCGCCGCCCTCGGGGCTCCGCGCACAGTTCGGATCCCGGGGCTCTCACCTTCGCTGCCGTCCTGGGGCACGTCCCCGCCGCCGGTCCCGCTCCCAGTCCCCGTCCCGGAGCCCGGGCTGCCGCCGCCGCTCCGCTCTGCCCCGCTGCTCTCCCGCCGCCTGCCCGGTACGGCCACGCCCCTCCCGGTACCGCCACGCCCCTCCCGGTACGGCCACGCCCCCGACTCCGACGGGGCGGGTGCGGCCGGTGCCTCCCGGGCCGGGCTGTGAGCGGGGATCACCATGCCACGAACAGCACCCTTAGGGACATCACAGCCCTGCGTGATCCCGCTGCCCTCAGGGACCCCCGACCGATGCCAGAGCCCGCGTGTCCGTCTGCCGTCCCCGGGACACCGGACGGGTTTGGGTCCCGCACCCCAGGAGGTTTCCCCGCCTGGTGCAGGGCCATGAACGGCGGGGGCACGGGGGGAGCACAGGACACGGCCTCAGCCTGGGTCTGTCCCAGGAAGGAGGAAAGAAAGCCCTGAGCATCCGTGGTGGGGTGCAGGACATGAGGGAGTGCAGGACACACAAGGGTGCCTGGGACTGGCTTTGTGAGGCACAGCTCAGAGAGGTCCGGGTATCCCTGGCTTTGTAGTGTCCCTGCTGGCCCCGGTATTCCCCTGCCGAAGCTCCCCTCGGTGCCCTACCCAGCCCCGCAGTGCTCCAGCCTTTCTTCTGGATTGCCCGGACAGCCCCTGAATTCGGGATGGAGGCAGCATCGGCAAGGGCATCCACGGCTCTGTGTGACCCTGGCCAGGGGCTGCTCGCGTTTGGAGGAAGCAGCCAGGGTGGGAGAGCGCCACACCTCATGAGGGTTTGCATATGTAAATATTTTTTGTAGAAAAAATAAGTCGCTCCGGTAGCCCCAGCGCCTCCTGCCCGCACACCACCCTGGGGCTGCAGCGCTGTCCCGCTGTCCCCACCAAGGGACATTGGGCCAGGGAATGTTGGCTCGGGGCCATCAGCCAAGGGCCAGCAACCGTGGGTTGTTGGGGTGCAGTGACCAGGGAGAATCGGCTCGGGGACGGCGGCCAGGGAACATCAGCTGAGGTCCATGGGGCGGCGGGAGCACGGCCCGGTCCCCCGGCGGCGGAGGGGCTGCAGGGCGGGACCGTAGGAAGCCGGGCCCGGGCAGGAACTTCCTTTTGTGAAACACCCGCAGCCCGCAGCCGGACCAGTGTCGCACAAGCGTCGCAGGCAGCAGCGGGCCAGCTGCGGCCACCAGCCCTTTCCTCTCCCAGCACATTCATGCTGACCCCCTCCATTGCTCTGAGCATCCCCTGGAGCTAGCCAGGAACAGCCGGCAGCACCCTGACACTGGTGGTGACCTCCAGGTGACACTGGAGTGAGTGGGCAGGTGCCCAGCCCAGCCCAGCAGCCCCCTGCCCCAGCTCACCCGACACCACAGCAACCCCTGCACTCTGGCAGGGCCTTTCCCGGGGGAAGAACCTGCTCTGTTCCAGCCCCAGCATTTAATTGAAATCTGCAGAAATTACAGCACATGTGTCTCCCCCACAGCTGCCCTGTGATTCCAACAGTCTCAACAAGAGCTGACAGGGCAGTGCAGAGACCTGTCCCCTCCCACGGTGACAAATTCACCCTCCCTGGTTCAGGGGCAGAGCTGGGCACCTGCTGAGGCCGCTCCTGGAGGTGCAGCACCGCATCAGCCAGCAGAGAGAGCACAGCTGGTTCTTGGCACTGGCTCACAGGTAGTTGTCCTCTTCCTCCTCCTCCTCCTCATCCCGTGCCAGGGCCTCAATGTCGTGAGTGATGTCGGTGATGATGCGGTTGAAGGACTCGCTCTCGGAGCGCAGGGACCAGCTGTCGTAGCTGCGCACGGCCGAGGCCGACGTGTTGCTCATGCTGCGCTTGATGCGGCCGAAGCTGTCGGTGAGGATCCCGCCCTCCCGGATCCCGATGCTCTCCAGGAAGGTCTCAAAGTACCCGATGTCTTGGTCAGGGATGAAGGGCCTCATTCCTGTCAGAAGCACTGTAAGCCTTGGAGGCTGCTCAGCCCTACTGGTTTGTCCCATCCCGCCCCAGTAAGTAGCAGGGTCCTGACATCCCCTGAAGCGCCAGCCCTGTGTCCCCAGGGGATGCACAGACATCACCAGGGTGACACAGGGTGGCTGCAGACACTCACCCAGGAGGAGGAACTTCCTGCGGTCCCCGTAGAGGCGCAGGAGCTCCGTGCAGTATTCCTGCACCGGCGTGCCCAGCCGGTACTCACGGAGCAGGATGGCAAACTGCTGGATCTCCTGTGGTGACAGCTTGTTGCGCAGCTGGGGTGACACAGGGACGGGTTTGGCTTGGGGACATCAGCAGCACACAGCCCCCAGCCCCCCACCCTGTGTCCCACTGCTGCTCTCTGGCACAGGGAGCTCACACCAGCCTCCTCCCCTGCCCCAGCTGCTGGCACTGCTGGCCTGCTGCTTGTCCCTGTGCCCATCCTTGTGCCCTCACCGTCACCATGTAGTCCTGCAGCTGCTCCAGCCCTGCGCCGCTCTGGTCACTGCCACTGCAGGCGGTGGCCAGGCTGTGGTGGGAGCGGTGGAAGGAGGGCGAGGAGGTGCCGCTGTAATACGCCTCAAAGGTCTCGTGGGAGCCATTGCTGGGGAGAACACGGGTCAGTGTGTCCCTGTACACCCAGTGTGCCCAGCTGCTCCCCGCCCACTGCACAGCACCGACCATCACATGGGGCTGGGGCATCATTGCAGTGGGACTGGCACCCAACCAAGGGCAGGGGTACCCACCCAGGGGCACCCTGGGGGAGTCAGACTCACAAGGAGCTGCAGCAGCTGTAGTCAGCATCGTAGCCATATGTCCCATCTGTGCGGCAGCTCTCGCCTGGGGAGCGAGAGCAGAGACCTCATAGCAGAGACAAACCCCCCATCATGTGTCCATGTACCCCCACCCGTGTGCCCCATGACACTCCCCTTAATGTTCCCACTCCTGTCTGCATCCACTCACTCCTGCTGGAGAGCCAGGGCCGTGTGGGTGTGGAGGTGTAGTGGTACCCGGCTCTGTCCACGCACTCGATGCTCTGGTCGCCGTAGATGATCTGGAACACCTGGCAGATGAGGGCACAGGACTCCTCCCCAGCATCCTGCAGGGGAAGGGCGGCGGGCAGTGAGCGCCGCTGGGTGGGCGAGACCCGGTGGGCGGCACACGCCGGGCCCGCTCACCCTGTTGGGCACGGCGAGGATGATGAGGTTGGAGTAAGCGTCCGGGCAGGGCTCCTGGGGGTCCAGGGGGTTGCTGCCGGCGTGCCGCCGCTCCCAGCTGCCGAAGCCGGTGCCGCGCTCCCAGCTGCCGCCGGCGGTGCCGGCCCGCCGCCGCTCCCAGCTGCCGCCGCACTGCTGCCGCCGCTCCCAGCTGCCCGAGGGCCGCCCGCGCTGCCGCCGCTCCCAGCTGCCGCCCCGCCGCCGCTCCAGGCTGCCGCCCTGCCGGGCCTCCTGCCCGCCCCGCGCCGCCCGCCAGTCCAGGCTGCAGATGGTGTGCCGCCGCTCCATCGCGCCCCCGAGCCGCCCCTCCGGCCACGAGCCCCCCGCTCGCTTCTCTGCGGGAAACGCCTCGGGCAAACCGGCCGGGGCCGCCTCGGGGTGCGCCCCGGCGGGGACCGGGTCCACTCCCAGGCCTGGGGAGCGGGGACAGACAGGGCGTCAGGGCGGAGGACTGCGCTGCCCACCCTGCCGGGTCCCCAGCCCCTGCCCCGGCCTCCCTGTCCCACCTGCCCAGGGGGATGCGGAGGGATGGGGATGTGGGAACCTCAGTGGGCTGGGGACACCCCTCCGGTGCTCGGTATGTAGGAGAGGATGGGACACACCAAGGCAGGGACACAGGGCGGGATTTTGCCGCCCTGATAGACTCTGACACCCATCTCCAGCCCCTCACAGCCCCTCGGGGCTCGGCTGGCGGCCCCCGGCCGGACCCCCGCACCGGTTTTGAGGATGAGGAGGTGCAGGGCATCGTCGCGCAGGTAGGAGGCGGCTGCGATCTCGTGTGTGGGGATTCGCAGGATGAGCTCCTCGTTGTCGCGCCAGGTGAGCAGCAGGCAGCGCGCCGAGAGGCTGAGGATGCTGTCCTGCTCCGGCGTGGTCTGCAGCGGCAGCTCCTTCAGCTGCTGCACGGACAGAGCGCGGGGGCTGCGTGGGGCACCCGGCAGGGTGGGGTACCCCGTGCCCACCCTCTGGGGAGTGGGGACCCCTCTTACCCTGGCCGTGTCCAGCAGCTGCAGCACCTCATCCCGGCTGGAGGGGTTCAGGGACGATGTCACCCATGTCAGATGGCCTAAAAACTGGGGGGGGGGGGGAAGCCCAGGGCAGCTTGGGGAGGCTGGGGCATGGCCCCAAGGTCAGGACACATCTTCCTGGGGTTCGGGGAGACCCTGCACTTAGGGGTTCCTCCCCGCACCGCCAGCGCACCCTCCTCCTCCCTGGGTGTTTGCCTGGGCAGGGAGGGGACCCAGACCCTTCTGGCCACTCTGTGTGTGGATCTCAGCACCGTGTGGTGGCCTCATAACCCCACCTCAAGCAAGCAGTGACCCCGGGCACTTTCGGGCATCCCTTTACCTTCACCTCCTTCTCCACGTAGTCGTGCAGCAGGATCTGGGGGTCGATCAGGTAGTCGGGGGGGTAGAGGGGCACGGAGTGCAGCGGGCGCCGGTAGACGCTGCTGCGGAGCGCTGCCCTCCGCGCCGCCTTGGGGAAAACCAGCCGCTTGATGGGCGACACGAAACCCTGGCAGGGGAACGGGCACGGGGACGGCTCAGCACCGGGCACCCAACCCTGGCCCCCACACACGGGGTCCGTGGCACCCAGCACCCGGGGGGATGGGGGGGGTAACAGCTGAGCACCTCTCTGCTGGCCCTTCGCTCTGTTTGGGTGGCTCCATTCTCCCCGCCGTGCTGTGGGAGGGGTGCGGGGCCTCTCAAACCTGGGCATGGCACTCTCTCCCCCCTCCTGGCCGCCCCCTGGACCCCAGCCCCAGCCCCACGCACCTTCTTCCCCTTCTTGGCCTCGCTGTCCATGGCAGGACGCGGTGCTGCGGCCGCCCCTCTGCCCCGCTCGGCGCCGCGGCGCTTTCCTGTGTCGGAAACTCCACCAGGATCGCTGGGATGTGAGTTCCTGCCTCTCCTGGGGGGTGCTGGGACTGGGCTGGGCCGGGCTGGGCTGGGCTGGCACTGAGACTGGGACTGGGACTGGGACTGGGCTGGCACTGGGACTGGGACAGGACTGGCACTGGGATAGGGGCTGAGCTGTTCCTTGGGCAGAAGCAGGAGCTGAAGCTGGCTGAGATGGGACTGGAGCAGGGACTTGGACTAGTGCTGGTGCTGGGACTGGGGTTGACATTTATACCAAGACTGGGCCTGGGATTTGGCAGACTGGGGTTGCAGTGGGCTGAGATGGGACTGGAGCAGGTGCTGGGACCAAAGCAGGTGCTGATGGTGCCTGTGGGACTCTACTGCCATGGAGCAGCCCCTGCCCCTCACTGTGGGGCTCTTTCCTGGGGCTGGTTCTGCTTCCCTATGACCCCACATCAGCCTCGTCCTCATGGGGCAGCCCTGGGGGCTCCCAGCCCTCGCTGCCCACATCCTGTCCTGCTTACATGGGGCCCTGGCACTTGGAATGGCCCTGGCACTGGGAACAGCCCTGGCACTGGGAACAGCCCTGGCAGGAGCCCACACAGCTGCCTCCAGCACCCCGTCCCCACAGCTGCCCGTGGGGTCTGAACCCACCGTGATTCTGGGGTTTGCCGGGGGTCGGGGCCTCCGGCAGGGGCAGGAGGAGGCTGAGGCTGGCCCGGCAGTGCCGTGTCCGCCAGTTTCCTCCCCGAGGTGCTGCATCCTGCCTGTGCACCCCTTCCCTGCCGGCCACCGCGCCAGGGCCACCACACCAGGCAGGCAGCGCTGCCTCAGCCATCCTGCTCTGCTAATGATGCCCCCGAGCAGTCCGGGACAGAGAGGAACCATCCTGCCCTGCTTTGGAGCCCCAGCTGCGAGCTGGAGGTGCCGACAAGGACAGGATCCCACAGGCAGGGCTTATTGAAATGAATTTAATATCTCATGTTGCAGCAAAATTAAAAATATACAAAAAGTTTGTGGTATACAAAAAAGTCTCGGGACGGACCCCGGCCTCCCGCTCGCCCCCGCCCGCGCCGAGGGTCCCAGAGAAGAAGGTGGCACACAGAGTATTTACAGTACGTGACAGCAGCCGCCGGGTCCCAGCGCCAGGGGGTGCAGGGATGCGGCTGAGACCCCGCGGCAGCCCCTGCCAGAACGAGCTTCTCTCACTCCCTGAAGCTGGAGCAGCCCTGCTGCCACCCCTGGGTGACACTCCCAGGGGCCAGAACCCCGCCATCCCCAGTGGGAGCTCGAGCACCCCTGGAGCTGTGCCCATCCTGGCCCCGGTCGTGTCCCCTGTCACCCCGGCAGGCAGGGGGGGACAGGGCGCTGGGTTTGGCTGCTGCTGGGGCACAGGCAGGGAGGGGACAGGGGGGTGGCCTGGGGCAGGAGTGAGACTGAGGGGTCCCCCCGAACCCCACACGTGGCCAGAATCCTCTGCCCAGAGCAGCCCAGGGCTGAGGGTACCGTGGCTTGAGTGCATAGAAAAGTGTCCCTCCGACCCACCAGCGTGGCCCTGGGGTCCCCACACGAACCCCAACGTGAAGGACATGCCCAAATTGCGTCTCTGCCCTGGGGTGGGCACGGGCAGGGGGAGTCCAGAGGAGCCGCCCGATGCTGGCACACAGTCCCCACATGGCCCCTCCCCAAATCCGCTGTGAGCCGGACCCAGGGAGGAGCTGCCACCGTCTGGGCACCGCTCAGGGGCTGCGGTGACACTGCTTGGTGCTTGCAGTGAGCCCCCGGAGCAGCCTGGCACCCCTGGCTGCTGCCCCCACCTTCCCTGAGGAAAACAGACCCAGCCCCAGAGCTGCCCCAGCCGGGGCTGCCTCTGCCCAACCAGCACCAGCACACACCCCCGGGGCAGCTCCAGTACAACCAGCACACACCCCCGGGGGCTGCTGTGACGGTGGCAGTGAAGGAGCGGTGCAGGTGACAGGGGCCCAGCCCACTGCCCAGCCCCAGCCATGCTCTGCATCCTCCTCCTAAAGGGTTTCCAAGGCTTCCAGTTAGCACCAGTGAACCCAGCGATGGCCGGCCCAGCCTGCTGTCACCCCAGCTACCAAGAAATGGGAAACAAAAGCAACGTGATGCCACCCCACTGCCCCCACACCCCTGCCAGCCCGGCCGTGTCACAGGGCTGGGCACCCACGCTGTCCCTCAAGGACCCCACATCCCCACAGCTCCCAGGTGCAGCTCTCCCATCCCACACCTCCCATCCTCCAGTGCCTCACACGGTGCCCCATGGCACAGAGGGGCCCTCAGTGCTGCCCACACTCCCCTGCCCAGGCAGGGCTTGGCACTGTGGCTCGGGGCAGACAGGGGCCAGAACCCTTTGGAGCCATGGCAGGGGCACAGGGGATGCAGGGAAGGCACAGGGGCCGTGGGTGTGGGGGCAAGGGGGGCAGCACAAGGCTGGGGGGTCCAACAGCTCCCCTGCCCTGCAAACCCCTGCCAGCCCCTGCACACACACACACACACACACACACACACACACACACACACACACAGAGCCCCCCAGGACAGTCCCAGCTGGGGGGCACAGGGTACATTCAGCACAGCCCCTCGGTGGGAGCCGGTGGATCTGGGCAGGACCAGGGACACATTCAAACCCAGAGCCCGAGCAGCCCCACTCCTCTGGGGAGGCAGGAGCAGCCAGGACAGGCGGGGCAGGGGCTGGGGACAGGCAGGGGGGACACAGGGTGAGGTCAGGGGACGGAGGGAGGGTCCCAGCTCAGCTTGATACTGCAGAGCTGGACGGGGGTGATGCTGATGAAGGAGTGAATGGAAATGCTCCCGGCTGGGAAAGGATGCCAGCCCAGGAGGGGAGAACGGCTGGGGGTGAATCCCACTTTGGGGAATCCGGGGAACGCCGGCGGCCCCGCACAAACCCCGCAGTGGTGCCAGCCAGGCCCTGCCACCCCCGGCCCCAGCGGAGGTAGAAAATGTCACACAAAATGTCACCATTCAGGTGAAAACAAACCCAATGAGATGAAGCAGTTCCTGTGGGGATGGGGGGGAGGATGGTGTGCAACCATCCTGGCCTCAGCTGGGGACCCAGCTCCGAACCAGGGGTGCAAGGTTCGTGCCCACCCACGAGGGGCCCACCCAGGCCAGGGTCTATTCCCCACAGGATATTGGAGACCCCATGGAGTTGGGGACATGGCTCAACCCTGAGCCGGGGGGACTGAGGATGGATATGAAGGGGCTCACTTCGGGTTGGTGTGGCAGAGCTGGGGGAAGTGGGAGACATGGTGGGGACTGGATGGACCCCGGCTGTCCCTGCCCCAGCTCCCTGGGGGCCACCAGCCGCATGCACACCCAGTGCAGCCACGTTCCATCCCCACGGCTCTGCCGTGGCACAGGCACCTGTGTGCTGCCCACCGTGCCCACCGTCCCCACCGTGCCCCTGGCAGCTGCCAGCCCCCAGCCCCATCCCAGGGTGCTCCCTGTCCCCATCCTGCACCACTGATATGGGCCACAGCACCCACCGCCTGGGCTCAGGCACCGGTGAGGTATTTTGGCAAGGACGAGCCCTGGAGGGCGTGGGGGCGGCCGCCGTCGGGTGGGACGGGTCTGGGCTGCGGGAAGGCAGCGCGGGGAGGGGATAGCACCAAGAGACCTCCCCGGCCACGGCCCACAAGATGCTTGGCACGGCGACACGGCAGCGCCGGCGAACCCGAAGGAAGGCAAACAGCTGTGGAGACACAGGGTGGCCCGGGTGGCACCGGCGCTCCCGCCGCAGCCTCACGCCCCGCAACCTACACGGTGGTCTCGTACTCCAGCACCTCCTGGGGGGCGCCGGGGGTGCGGTACTGCAGGCGGGGGGTGGTGGGCGACGCGTACTCCAGCGCCAGGATGGTCTTCCGCAGGCGCCGGTCGATGAAGTGGGCATCCCAGGCCGGGTACTTCTTCCTGGGCAGGTCAATGCGGATGACGGGCCCCTCTGTCCGCGGGGCGCGGGCGGCCGGCGCCGGCGGGGCGCAGGGTCTCACCTGGAAGACGGGCACGCAGCTGTCCCGCTCGCCCGGCGCCCCGTCCCGCTCGCCCCCTGTAGTCCGCGGCAGCGAGCGCGGGGGGCTGGTGACGGCTTCCACGGGGGACCCCGGCACCACCGGGGGCGGCTCCTGCCGGAAGATGCAGCCCACGGAGCGGTGACTGAAGATGGGGCCGTTGGGGTGCAAGAGGCAGTAGTAGATGAACATGAAGAAGATGCCGAGGGCGAAGCTGGAGCTGACCACGCAGACGAGGATTAAGGCGTTGAAGTCGGAGGTGACCTTGCGGTCGTAGTAGAGGAACCAGAGGATGGTGAGGGCGGCGTTCTCCGACAGCGTGATGATGTAGTAGATGCACATGCGGTAGCGGCTCCGACCCTCCTTGACGTTGAACCAGCAGAAGATGTAGATGATGCCCACCACCATGTTGTAGATGATCTCCTCCCACTTGGACATGCAGAAATCCGTCTCGCCCTGGATGATCCAGAAGGTCATGATGCACCAGTGGGTGACGATGAAGATGCCGAAATAGAGCTGGAACACGGAGGCGAAGAGGGCAAAGGCGATGGCACGAGCGGCGATGGTGAAGAGGTGCCAGAGGATCTGCACCACGGCGCCCTTGTAGGACATGGGCATCTTGTCCTCCCGCGAGTCCCGCAGCACCTTCTGGTAGGACGCGATCATCCAGGCCAGCGAGACCAGCGAGGCCGAGGCTGAGAGTCCTGCGGGGAGCGGCCGTGAGAGCCCACACGAACCAGAACCTCCCTCCCCTCACCCTGTCCCCTGCCAGCGCTGTCCCTTACCCTGCAGCGGCTCGATGCTGTTCTGCTGCACCATGATGCTGAGCTGCAGCACGAGCTGGGGCGCGCTCTTGAGGAAGGCCTCGAGCAGCCGCAGCATGCTGATGTCGGCGCTCTCGAACATCATCCGCCAGTAGAAGTGGCGGCGCCGGTGCTCGGCCT